GATGTTGTTATTGTAGTTATTGTTATATTATACTGTTGTTATTGTTATATTATTATTATTATTATTATTTTTGTTATTATTATTCAGGAAAATATGCAAAAACTGCCGTTGCCTAGCGGAAGATCACGACATGCAGCCGTGCCAACAGAGAGATTTCCGACCAATGAGTTTGCTGTTCCAGTCATGTGATTCGCCCCCGGCACCCCAGGACCCCAAACCTGATTGGACGACACAGTTCCAGAAGTTGTCCATCACCGACCCTGGTGACTTGACCCAGCTCAAGCCGGCCCAGAACGATATTGTGATGACCAAGCTGATCAGTGAGAACGTGGTGAGTATTGGCTGCCTCGATGTTTACTTAGTTTATTGTTCTGTGCACGGTAGTTCTTAATTCTTTTAGGGTGTAGCGGACATATTATTACGCTGCCTCCGACCAGTAGAATCTCAAAGGTAATGCTGCGAAACACTTCAAACCACCACACATAAATCAGAAATATGAATTGCGTTAATAGAAAGCACATTATAGCCTGCCTTTTAAACTTTGAAAAAAAAAGAGAAAGAGGACGGTTTTGAAACACCTGTATGGCTACGTGCATCTTTTTTTAAAAAGTAACCCCAGAACAGCGCGTCTTCAAAAGAGCAAATTAGGCGTCCTCTTTAAAAAAAACCCAACAACTGCGGCGTATCATATTATTATGGCCAATCACTCAGCAACATCATTCATTGCCTGTGGTCCCGCCTGAGACAAGCTGCTGATAAGAAGTCTTCGTGAATCCCGATTCTGTGCCGATTTCTCGAACAGATGTCCCCACTTAAGCTTTACGCCAGCCTCCAAGAATCCCCTGTCACCTTATGGCGTCTTGCGTTTTTTGGCCAATCACTTGCCAGTCTCCACAATGCGTATTTGGGGCATGGCTTGTGTGTATTAGTCACATACACTCTTTAAAAGAGAGGGATTGCAGATAATTAGAAAACAACTGTTCTCGTCTGTAGATATGGAACAGTGCTCACGTGTGTACTGTCTGTGCTGTATTTGCTGGCAAAACAGCGGGAAGAGGACGACGAAGACGAGAAGGAGAAGGGCGACGAGGAGGAAGAGAAGCTGATAAGATGATGATGATGGTGGTGATTGTGAAGAAGAAGAAGAAGAAGAAGAATAAGAATAAAAAGAAGAAGAAGAAGAAGAAGAAGAAGAAGAAGAAGAAGAAGAAGAAGAAGAAGAAGAAGAAGAAGAAGAAGAAGAAGAA